CCGAGGGCACACGAGTGGTTGAGTATACAGTGTCTCTCAGTGGGTGGTTGTGGGGATCTCATTTCCAAATTCTTGCCCCAACAACCCCCCCCCCCCCCCCGCCATGAGGTCCATAGAGTCTGGTCTCTAGGAAGAATGGAGTAGACGTACAAGTAACAGTAGATAATGCCAACCACTCATGAGTGCCTCTTCTTGGCTGAACCCTCAGCAGAGATTACATCATCTAACTTGGCCGTGCACAACCCACCGAGAAGAGGTGCTATGGTGTTCCAGCCCTCCTCCTACTTTCCTCTACCCTCTTCTCACTCTTGTGACCTCTGTTTCCTCCCTGCCATTATTTACACTGTGCCCTTCACCCAGAACAACCCTGGAGTGTTGGCCTGGCAAGCTCTTATTCCTCCTTCAAAACTCAGCTCAGGCAGTGCCTCCTCGGAGAAGCCTTCCATGATTCCCTCAGGCTGATGTAGGTGCTGATCCCCTTGTAACTCTATATCTCTCTATTACTGCGGTCTCACACCGTACTGTAATGATAAGGTTTTTTTTTTTTTTTAATTAAAAAAAACTTTGAAACAATTTTAATAACCTCCAAAATACATAAACACTTTTTTTGTTCTTGTAAAAATGCTAGGGGTACAGCTATAACTGAAGCCCCCCTTAACTGTCAGCCGGTCCCATGTTCCTCCTCAGAGGAAGCCATTTAAAAATAACGTCTTCTCAATAGTCTGCATGCTCCTGGGCACAGGCCCCTGCTATTCCGGGGACCGCAGGGCTGCTGGTGTCATTATCTCTGGTTCCATTTAGTGGCTTCAGCAGCCCTCCAGCATGGTGGCCTTGGTACTGGCCAAGGCCTCGGGGTCACAATTCTTGGCCATCGAGGAGGTGAGGTCATCTGGGGCAGGTGGCTTGGGACTTTGTGGTCACAGACTGAGTTGTCCAATCAGCCTTCAACTCTGACGTTGGCTTTGACCCTGAGATTGGCAGGCAAAAAAAAAAAAAAAAAGTATCCAGCTCTCTCCCTATTCTGATAAAAGCCTGTAGGACAAATTCTGGCTGGTTTTTTTTTTTTTTACTGATAAATGTTTATAAAGCCCCCTGAATGCCAAGCATGATGCAGAGCAAGGACTATGCAGAGCTTCTGCAAATCTCTCCAGAGGGCGTGTCCTTGTTTGAGATCTGAGGCTGAAAAGATCTTATTTGGTGAAGAGTCTTGATTTGTTATTTGTGTACTGGTGAGAAGTTTTATAACATATTAAAAATGTGTATGGGTGTGTGTGTGTATGTGTGTGTGTATTTTTTGTGATCAAGCATGTCACAGTGTGTATTAAACACCAATAATACACCCAACTCTGGCTTTTGGGTGGGACATAGGGAAGCAGAGTGGGATGTGGGTCAAAAGCATGGACTCTGAAATCAGCTTGGATGGGTTCAAATCCCATCCTTCCTGTGATGAGCTCTGGGACCCTCAGCATGTTATTTAGCCATTCTGTGCCTCACTTTCCTCCTATTCAAAAGGGGGATCATGATAGCACCCACTCCACTGGCTGGGAGAAGAGGAAATGAAATGCATGAGGAGCATTGAACGTGATATGAAGCAGGTGCTCAACAAAGGCTGTTAATGATAGTAGTAGTTCTTAATTAGCTTAAGGAGTTCACATCAATAAGAACTGAAGGCACAAGACCTGATTTCTGTTCTTGCATTTGCAGTCTTTGGGGGGGAGATTAGACTAAAGTACTCAGTACTACTAACGGTTACTATGTCACAGTAGCAGGGAAGTCCAAATGGTGTGGGTTGTATTGAAAGTCCTACAGGAGCTGGGGGAGCTCCTGGGAGGAGATTGGGCTCCCTGTGGACATGTCAGAGGGGTGAAAGGAGGGGCAAGGACCATGTGGCAGGTGTCAGGGGAACATTCCAGACCAGTTGGGTGGGCAGCGATTGCCAGGGTTGGGGGTGGTGAGGGGGCCAGCTGAGATGTACTTCATCCAGAGGTGAAATGACAGGTGCCTGTGGAGTGGAAATGGGATGAGAGAGGCAGAGAAGCTACTGCTTCTCTTCCTCCTCCTCCTTAGTATAAATGCTTTTATTGTATTTTCATGACTATTGACCTGGAATTGTAGGATGCAAAGTTGGGGGATTTCGCTTGGCTACGTTGATGTATAGAAAACAAACTTGCAGCATCCTTATCTGTTGAGAGGATTACTGAGAACTTGGGTGGAGTGGGGCTGTGGGTAGATGAGAAGCCTCTGTTTGCAAACCCTGAGTTTACTGCCTGCACACAGGTGCTGAATCAGAGGTAGCTGTGGTTATTAGGGACAACGGTATTGAGCTCATAAATTCCTTTTATAGAAATTGGCAACCCTGGGTTCAGAGTGTTCAGAGTGTTCAGGGACTGAATGACTGTCTTGAGGGGGTTCTGAGAATATCACCCATTTGGTTGGCATCCAGCTTGGTGATGTCAGGATCATGGTCCACCCTCCTAGGGCTTTATAGAGACATCATCTCTCCATAGCCCCCCATTCCTGAAACTGCTTTTGAAACTATTCATTCATCATTTGTTCATTCATTCATTCAGCCGTTACTGAGCTTTACCATGCACATTATAATACACTGGTTAGGGGCACAGACTCCCAGATCAAATGCTTGGTGCAAGTCTCAATTTTACCATTTTGTTGTTCTGTATGGCCTTTGGCCAAAACTTAACTTCTTTGTGCCCAGTTTCCTGATTTGTAAAGTGAGGCAGTATCTGCCTCCCAGGGCTGATGTGAGAAATGGATGAAATAATCCTTGACAGAGCCTGGCCTTGAGCACCCCTCAGTGCTGGGGTACAGAGTGGGGTGCCCTCAGTCCTTGCCCCTTGCCACAGTCAGAAGGGTGAAGGTGGTTCCTTTGAGGGCAGGCTCTGACCCCTCACAGCTGCTCGGGAAATGTGGCATTGAGGAGAGTCTGCATAATTTGGGGCTATAGATGTTGAACCCCCTTGCAGCAGTTACTGTGCTGTGGAAGGGCTTGTACACTGAGCAGATGTGCCTTCCAGGCTGAGCTGAGGTGGGCTGCCGAAATGACTCTGGTGTGGGCTGCTTGCTTTCTCCCCTCTCCCTTCGTACGGGATGGAGGGGATGTGGTGGCCCCTCTGAGACTCCGAGCCCACGTCTCACTACCCTTCCATCTCTCCACATTCCAGGATCCACATCTTCCCTCTTGCCTTATTCTGGGCCCCTCTGTAATGCACATGCCTTAGCTGATGAAGTTAGCTCTGATGGAAGCCAGAGCAGTGGTCCCAGACAGGGATCCAGATGCTAAAAATATCTCATGGTGTGCTCTTTGCCAGTTAAATAAAAGAGCAGCATTGTAGACTATGGCTGGGGATTCTCCCCAACACTGACTCTTTCCAGTGCCTTGGGGTGCAGGAGTCCAAGGTATCTGGTCCTGCTTACCCGGATTTGAGAGTTTATCCTAATGGTGCCTTTTTTTTTTTTTTTTTAAGATTTTATTTTTTAAGTGGTCTCTGCACCTAAAATGGGGCTCGAACTTACAACCCTGAGATCAAGAGTTGCATGCTGTACCAAATGAGCCAGCCAGGTGTTCCCCTCATGGTGCTTTGATCTGGAAAAAAGGTCAGACTCATGGTGGGGCAGGTGGAGGAGGATAGTAGGAGGGAGATTGGGCCAAGCAGATTTGATGCTCAACAGGCTGATGCACCAGCCTGGAAGATCATGGAAGATCATAGGTGTCCAAATTACCCCTAACCCCCTTTTGCCTAGGCACCAGGTTGAAGGCCAGTCCTCCATCTCTCAATATGGTCTACACAGCCAGTCTTCCATTGTTGAAACTGATGGCTGTTTCTTTCTTTGGTTGACACCAAATGAAGCAGCTGGTTTGGGTTTGGGACCATGCTGTAGAAAGAGAATCTGCTTTAATGCTAACCCCACCCCAAGTGGTGAGGAACGCAGTACCTGAGGCTGAGGAGGGAAGCTCAGGATTCTATCTGAGACTCAGCTGGGGCAAATGCTCAGGGGGTGGAAGAGCAAGTGGGCAGAATCCTCCACCCATTGAAATGTTCTCTCTCTAGTTCTTTTTCCGTCTCATCCCTGTGTCTTCCTAGTTTCTGCTGCTTTCAAGCACATAGACTCGAATCCTTAAATGTGGGTATCATGTTCATTGGGATATTTTACCACTCCAAGTAGTCATTTCATGAAGCAAAGCTCACAACTCATACTTGTGGATCCCAGTGTTCCTAATTCTGCCAGGTGCCCTGCTCTTGACAGTCTTCACACTAGAAGGTATTACATGCTCATTAACATCTTCATCCATCTAACACTGATTGGGTACTACTCAGATTACATGTGATTTTACCAAAGTTGTGATTGAAAATAGTTTGGCCTTACCTGTCTCCATAGACATAGCACATCATAAGCTCCAAATAACCAAACTCACCCTCAGGAGGGCCCCAAAGGTAATATTTAAGGATAGCGCCAACTGTGATGAGAGTTAACTAGCCATACAAATAGGATCAGATAAAACAGTGCTTAAAGAATAAAGCAATTTCTCTCTAAGGTGGTAGTTGCAAGGTGAGAGGGTGGTCATGCTCCATGCAGTCAATCACAGGCCCAGGTGCCTTCCATCTTGTTGCTCTGTTCCAAATGTGGAACAATTTCCAAATGTGTGGTCATCATCTGCACAGTCCGAGCTGAGTTCTAGCATGTGGGAGCCAGTGAGAAGGGTGGACAAGGTGTGCCAAGTCGTAAGACCTAGATGGGGAAGTGGCACCTTTCCTCTCTCATTCCACTGGGAAGTTAGATACCTGGCCACACCTACCTGCAAGTACACTGGGGAGATGTAGTCCCTGATAAAACTTGAATAACTGTGGAAGAAAGGGAGAATGGATTTTAATTGTCACTGGACCACCTTTGACATATTCCCCTTGTATGTATTTAATGCAGCTCTTTGTGTGTTTATAACATAAATATGCCCAGGTTATACATACTGGTTGTTTTGCTTTCAGAAAGAAGACCTGGACCAGCCATGCTGTTTATATGGACAGTTCCACAGTAATGAATCAGTGTGTCTTCAGAGGGATGGAAGAAAACAAGGAAAGGTAAAAATATCTTTAAAAATTAAAAATTTTAAAATTCTCACGTGCAACAATTAAATGCAATGTAGGACTTAGATGAACTAAGTCCGTATATGTCAGTGGAGGCCATCAAGAATTGGAAATAGCAGGATTTCTTGTGTCCCTTTTCCCAGTCTCTAGTTTCTGACACCAGAGGAGGATACCTTTGTTAAGTATGAGAGATTATTTTCTAAGACTTAGAAGGAAGAGTTGGTATAAATAGAACTAATGTGGTAGAGAATTAAATATTTGATTCTAAAAGCTATGGACACTCATTCCTAGAAACTGTGGACACTTGCTCAGATGATTATGTCTACATGTGTGGGTGGCCAGTCCCTGAGAGAAGGCAAAGACAGCCCCTTAGCTTTTGGCAGCTACATCTTTCTCTTTCTTCCACCTCTTCTTAAAAATAAATGTATTCATTTAATTTTATTTTAATGCCCAAGAGATGCATAGATACATTTTTTCCTAGTTAAAAATAGGTGACACACCCTCCCCCAATTTCATTCCCAGCCTCCCCACTCCACACCTGCCTTTCCCAGAAGTAACTACTGTGACCTACTTTTGTGCATTTACTTCCAGAACTTTTTCTAGGTGCTTACATACAGAGAAAAAAGCCATTCTTTCTTTCCTTTTTTCCCCCCTTTCTGTTCTTTTGATACAGGCAGTCATACTATGCTTATTGGTCTATTTTGTAATCTTTTTTAAAAAATTCAATGATGTCTTAAAATGTTTTAAAGATAGTACATGAGAATCTTCCTTTTATCTACTACGAAATGAATAATGTATGCGTGGCATAAGAATCCCACTGTTTATTGAGCCATGTTCTTGTGGGTGGTGGGTAGGTAGGTCCCATTGTTTGCCCTTATATGGTGCTGGGAGGCACTTTCTGGTATGTGCCTCCTGCGCACATGGGCAGATATTTCTCTTAGGAAGTTACTGAGGAGTGGAGTTGTTGCGCCATCCTGTGTATACATTTAAGATCTTACTAAATATTGCCAAGTCATTCTCTAAAGACTACTTGTCAACAGGGTGCCAGATCTCCTATTTGCCTACCCTCCTGCTGCACCCCAGCTCTTCATGCTCTCCCATTTTTGCCAGTCCACTGGGTGGTATCTCTCCATGGTTGTCATTTCCTCTCCCTTCTCTTTACTCTGGGGAGACATCTCCTCAGGTCTCTCTGTTACCTGGTTTCATCTCCCAATGGCAGATGGTGAGCTCTGTCCTTAAAGGGGTCTAGTGACCTATCCCAAAGCCCAGGACATCTGGGCAGTCCTGGTCATATCTGGGAGTGGGTGCCACTTCATTTTCTCTTCTGAAAAGTATCCAAGCATGCTTCTCCAGGAGAGTGTGTAACAGGATTACCTGCTTCTCTCTTGACTGCTGGTTTTGAGGAGCCTTTGGTTGGCTTTTCCTACTTCAGGTGGTTCCATCCGCCACCCACTGTCACCGCCATCATCACTATTGGCAACCATCTGAGAAGATGCTATGTGTCAGGCTCTGTGTGGATCACTGGGCTGACGTATCTCATTTAATTCTCACATGGCCCATATGATAGGGAGTTGTGTTCTTACCCTCATTATGGCCATTAGGCAACATTAGGACAGAAATTCATTCAAAACCAACCCAAACAGCAAAAACCCTATCTCGCCATGGAGCTAGGGTGACAAAGAGACCCACATTGAGTTCTCCTTGAGGATGGAGCTGTGGGGCCATCACACCCGTGTTTGCTGTTGCCTTGGCCACACCCAGTTGTTATTCTGCATCCATGGCCTTCCTGGGGGAGAGGTCCCCGGCCGGCATGTGAACACAGTTTCCTGCATATCATCAGCTCCTCTGTCTGGGGTCCAGTTGGGTGGCAGCCTCACCTGAGTTTGTCCAAAATCCTTCTCTGGAAAGGGGTTTTCCAGTGTTAGAAAACAAAATTCAACCAAGTAAATTTGAAGATCGAATTGGCTTTTATTAAACGATTCATCAGCTGGGAAAGTAGAAAGGAGCTCTGAGGAGGTGAACAGAATAGGAGGGAGGGTGGGGCAAGGAAGTTATTAGCAAAAGAAAATATTGTTCCAGGTCAAGACAACTTTTTTGGGGTCCGGGAGGGAATGGCAGGGTTTTAATCTTGCAGATGACCTCACTAGTGCTGATGAAAAAATTTCAGGTTGAATTCTAAAAAGGTCACCTTCCTGGGATAGGTTGAAACTATAATGAAGTCTTGCTGTTGTGGGGGAGGAAATGACTTCAATTTGGGCTTGGTTTTTTCTTTCTTTCTTTTTTTTTTTTTAAGGTTTATTTATTTATTTAAGTAATCTCTACCTTCAACATGGGTGTTGAAACTCACAACCCCAAGTTCAAGAGTCATGCGACTGAGCCAGGCTTGTCTGTTTTGTTGTTGTTATTTTTTAACACCAGGTTGTGCATATTTGTCATTGGAATCGATCTGCTTTATTAGGATAAATACACCCCCTGAGCTGTGGAAGGAAGTGTGTCACTTGCCCCCACAGGCCCAATCAGTCACCCTATTCTAGAATTGCAAGTTTAGATCTCATTCTAAAGTCAGGCAGTGTGCAATTCCGGAGGCCTTCCTGAGGCCCCCTCCCATGATGTTTCAGAGACGAGCAAGTTTAGACCCAGATAATCCTAGGCTCATTATTATAATTTTTTGCTCTTCATCTTCAAACTCTTCAGTAGTTTTAAGCAGTCTGGCCTAGGGTGATGATGTGATTGTCCGAGTTCACACAGAGACAAGCCTCGGGCTCAGGTCCCGGGTCTGGCTCTGGCCCTTTGTACATTACGGCTAGTCTAGTGTTGTTATTAGAACACTGATCAGCACTTGTTCCAAAAAATGAGCTGATTAGCCAATAATGCCTTGAAGGAAACCTGTCCATTGATCCATCAATTGATTATTCACTCAGTGGGCCTTTATTGAATACTACCAGACACAGAAAGATGGGTAAGATGAGTTCTTAGAGGATTCAGAGTCGGGTGTGGGGACGGCACACACTATGAGCAGTGGTTAAGTGGAAAACTAGTTCTTCATTGCTCAGTGGGGATAATAATAGGATCTCCTGCGTGAGTTGGTGGGGCACACCCTGAGTTAATCACAGTAAAGTACTTGGCATATAGGAAGCACTTAATAAAGGTGGCTTTTTCATGTTTGTTTGTGTATTTTTATTCTTACATAGGGTGAGGAACCTACGAAGATTTTTAATCAGGAGGCTGATAGGGACAGACTTGTGTTTTATTTTTATTTTTTTAAAAGATTTATTTATTTATTTGAGAGAGAGTGAGCCAGCACGAGGCGGGGGGTGGGGTGCAGAGGCAGAGAGAGAAGCCGACTCCCTGCGGAGAAGGGAGCCCGATGCAGGGTTCGATCCCAGGACCCCGAGATCATGACCTGAGCTGAAGGCAGATGCCCAACTGACTGAGCCACCCAGGCGCCCCGACTTGTGTTTTAGAAATGGTAATCAGTCGACACAATTTTTAGTGTCTGCCTCACTGATAGGACTGTGAATTCCATGGGGCCAGATCTTACCTGTTTCGCTCACTATCATTTACCTGGGGTGTGGCACAGTAGGTGCTCACTAGTGTTTCTGGACTGATGAGCGTAGGGGGTGGAGTAGTGACAACAGGTCCCTGAAGTGAGGTGAAATGACAAAGCCGGACAGTGAGAAGGACCTCAACTCTCCGGGGGCTCACCCCACTTTCCTGAAGAGAGCGGCTCCCTGGAGACCCTGCCCACAGACCACACTGCCCTCCAGTACTTGTGGGTGTTTTGTCTTTTAACCTCGTGACTTTATTGAGGAGACCTCTCCCTACAGCCTCTATTGACTGAGCAGCCCTGACTCACCACTTCTAGCTCTAGGTGCTGACTCACAAGAACGCAGGATGTCTAGGAGCTCAAGCCCCTGGGGAGTTCAGTTTTCTGCTGCTACCAGTGACTGTGGATAGATATTGCTTCGCCGGGCCTCAATTTCTCAGCTGTGCTGTAGTGGAGTTAGGCATATGGAATTTCTGATGTTCAAAGAGGAAAATTTTGAGGGGAGAAGTCCTTGTTCTTCTTGTGAATCCTTCCTGGAAAGTGGTGAAATGGGTGGATGGTTAGGACTTAGCCCATGCCGGAGAAATGGAAAGGTTTAAGTTTGTGCATTCGTTCATTCGGTCATTCATTCATTCATTCATTCAGTCGGTCAGTCAGTCAGTATCCTTCACTGCTTAGCAGGCCTAAGCACTTTGGGAAAATGCTCATATAAGGAATTATAAAGGCCTTTCACTCTCACCTTGTACAAATGTAGGTCTCTTTATGAAAATAAAGATCTCTGGCTTGCTCATATATTTCAGTATGTCTTGAGCACCTCCCCTGTGCCCGCTCTACTGGGCTTTACTCTCCTGCAAGGCTGGCCTTGCCTGGTGCAGGAACACCCACATCTGGCCTGGGACCCGGCACACAGTAGGCTCTTAGCCCGTGAGCACCTTCGGTGGACTGAACTGGTCAGAAAACAGTATTTTTAGGTGGTGACATGAAGGGCTATATCCCAAACTGAGATTTGCCCCCAGAGTAGTGTTGGGTTTCATGCTCAGGGGTAACTAATTTCTAGCATGCTTGAGAGCCCTCACCTATACGAAGGTTAGGCTTGCTCCTTGTTGTTAGTTGTTCTCTTGATCTCCTTATCAACTTCCATCTTGTCCTTAGGCTTGAGCTGTTTTGGTCACTGATTTTTATGAGCTCTTTGTTCACCGCCCACAGGGCTGTGTGGGGCTCTCTCCACTTCCTCCACCCTCCAGAAATTCAGCTGCTGACCTTGAGAAGCTGGAAACCCAACAAAAGGGAGAGTGTAACCTCTCCTGACCTGAGGCTCTAGCCTTAACTTCTGGACTCACCAGCCCTGTGACCTGGGGCAAGGCACTTCACTCCCCATGGTGTCTTCTTAGAGATCCCCTCAGTATTTCCCACAGCCTGCTCATTCGAATATGGTTTCTTCCAAACA